CACCTTAGCCTCCCAAAGTGCTGGGATTATAGGCGTGAGCCACTGAGCCCGGTCCCTCTTAATTATAAAAGGGTATTTTGGGGCTGGGCATGGTAGCTCATGCCTGTAATCCCAGCACTTTGGGAGGCTAAGGCAGGAGGACTGCTTGAGCCCAAGAGTTCAAGATCAGCCTGGGCAACCAAGGGAGACTTTATCTCTAAAAAAAAATAAAAAATTTTAAAAAATGATGATCTAAGCCAAACTTCCTCAACTGACTGCGCCCTGTAGGGGGAACATCAGTCAATGTCTGGATACACTTTTGGATGCCACAACTCAGAGGAAAGTACACTACTGGCATCTAGTGGGTGGAGGCCAAGAAGGCTGCTGAACATCCCACGATAGACAGGAAAGACTCGGCAGCAAAGAATCTTCCAGCCTAAAATGTCAGTGTCTGAGGCTGAGAAACTCTCTTCTAAGCTAGTGTTACCGATCTGTTTAAGGAAGTCTCATAACTAACATCTCAGTTGTTTGTCAGCAAATGGATGGTGCTATGGTGATGCAAAAGCTTACAAATATATTTTCTCAACTTCCTAAATATTTCTTTCACGTAGTCCTGCTTACACTATAGGTGTACTGACATCTTCAATTCAGTGAACAAAGAGGATGAACCTTGTTCCTAGTCTAACTCACCTCCAAAATTATTAGGAAACTCAAGTGTGGGGGACTGAGTTTCTGAGGCTTTATTATACGAAATGATTAGCCCTTTTTTATAACCTCTAAATGGTGAGTCAGCTGTCCTAATCTCATAGCACAAGAAACAACAGCCCTAAATAAGAACTGTCTTATGAGAAATACTAGATTCCAAAGACAGTAATTAACCTCTTCTTCAGTCTACTAGTTCTTTGTTATATACAATCTGAATTAAAACAGACAAACAAAAAAAACCCATTATATCCAGCCCCTGCATAATATATCAGGAAGATGTAACTGTTTCTGACTCAAATGCTCAATTTGGCCTGGTGTGGTCATTCATGATGATGATCCCTACACTTTGGGAGGTTGAGGTGGGAGGATCACTTGAGAGCAGCCGGGACAACATAGTGAGACCCTGTCTTTATGAAAAGTAAAAAGTCATCTGGGCATAGTGACGCATGCCTGCAGTACTAACTACATGGAGACTGAGGTGGTAGAAAATGGCTTGAGTCCAGGAGTTCAAGGATGCAGTGAGTTATGATTGCACCACTGCACTCCTGAGTAATGGAGCAAGACCTTGTCTCTAAATAAATAAATAAAACACTAAATTTGGCTTGCTTCTTTTTTGTTTCCCTACTCCTTAAAGGAAATTAAATAGATGTTGAAATATGGTGGAACGCCACAGAATCATTAGAGAAGTTAGAGTGATGTCACATTTTAGGGGTACTACATCTTATCCTTTTACAAACAACACAAAATAAGAACAATTTAAGTACGGGTCCTGCCAAATACATGTTAAGGGATATATAAAAACAAGTTTAAATTTATACATGGATTGTACAAGATTTTTGAGGTTAAATATTTTAAGCTTATTGTCTTAAGTGGGTTAAATATTTTCCTGAAATTGTCTTCATACTGTTAATTTGTTCAGTCAAGTTAAACCTCCACCCTTCCTGTAGCATAATTATCAAGAATTCCTGAACTTATGTGTTACACTAAACAGACAGCCTAATGAATAGTTATGGCTATTGATTTATTCTACAAGAAATAACAGTAAAAGAATTGTTACTACGATGCAATAATAAAAAGACAAAACACCCAATTAAAAAATTGCAAAGGGCCTAACAGACATTTCTCCAAAGAGGAAATACAAATAGCTAATAGGCACAGGAAAAAATCCTCAATATAATTTGCAATCTGGGAAATGCAAATCAAAACCACCATGAAATACCACTCCACACTCACTAGGATGGTTAGAAAATAACTTATGTTGGCAAGGATTTAGATAAATTGGAAGCCTCAAATACTGCTAGTGGTATAAAATGTAAAATGGTGCAGTCACTTCCAGAAAACAATCAGTTGCAGTTCCTCTCGAATAGGTTATAATGTCAGAATTACCTATGACCAGCAATTGCACGTGTTTTGTTTTTTTGGTGTTTTGTTTTGTTTTGTTTTTTGAGAGGGAGTCGTCGCTCCTGTCGCACCAGGCTGGAGGTGCAGTTGGCGTGGATCTCAGCCTCACTGCAAGCTCCGCCTGCCCAGGTTTACAGCCTCTCTCTGTACTCAGCCTCCCTGAGCTAGCGCTGGGACTACAGGCGCCCGCCACCGCGAGCCGGCGTGTAGTTTTTTGTGTGTTTTTTTAGTAGAGACGGGTTTAACTGTGGTTAAGCCAGGATGGTCTCGATCTCCGACTCGTGGATGCGCGCCCCGTCGTCGGCTTTGCCCACAGAGTGCTGGGGAATTACGGGCTTGAGGCACACCGGCGCGCGGCCTAGAGACGGGTGTTCAGACCAGTGTTTAGCCAGGATGGCCGGATCTCCTGAACCAATCAGTGGGAAAAATACAGACCGTCAGACAACATAAGAAAGCAACTCAACCAAAAGTGCATAGGATACAAGGTGATGAACCAACCGGTAGCCCGAGACACAGACAGAATGCACTTTATAAAGCATAAACACCAAATAATAATGAAAGTATGACCAAGCATATAGAAAAATACTATAGAACAAACAGATTTATACATAGCAGAACATAATAATATAACATAAAAATGGACACACAGATGAAAACAATATGAACACGTTTATACAAGATAATGATAAAATAAGTAAAAGTGCGCTAAATATCCACACAATGGATTAACTACTATACACACTAGCAAATTAAACAGGAAGAGAGATAGATATTAAAGATGACAACAATCAATGGATAGATGACATTAATATTACCAGCGAAAGAGACACAGATCCCCAGAGGCAACATACATGAATTCCAATTGACTATGAAAAAGCCCAGCAATAAGCAACAAATCTGATAGACCCATGAAAGTAGATAAAAGATAGAACTGGCTGAAGAAGCCAACAGAGAGGCAAAAAGAAGGAAGAAAAATTGGAGAGGTTGAAACAAGAGGAACTAGACATCTATTTCAAGGTAAAAGAGAATATTCCTACAAAGTTAACATGTGGACGATAGTGTGAACACAACTATAAGATGGAATAATGTCCTAAAGCACACTGACTACATAACACTTGAGGGGGTAATGAATATAAGATAAAAGAATATAAATGAAATAATAATAAGAATCCATACCCGAATAGGTATTTAAAGGCCGAGAGATCACATATAATCAAATATACCACATCATGTAGAGAATTATATTATGAAAAATAGCCGACAGAATAGGAAAAAACAATAAGCAGCTGCTTCTCACTCGGAAGAATGATTCATCTTTACAAACCCAGATATTCGACATATAGACATAGACTTATACAACAACTAAAAAGTGCAAGGAAAGAAAATGGGGCCATGAAACAGATATACAAGAAAAAGATATAAATACACATTAAAATCAACCCAAATAAGTTCATCACAACCATCATCCCAACACACACAGTTACAACAAGACTGTAAGGAAACATATTAACAAAACTACAATTATACGCAATATCAAACACTGAGACATGGACTACTCAGAATAGAAAATGCTAATTTAAAAAATATATGAAAAAAAGAGCGAGCGAGATTAGAACCCAGGACCACACAGGATGAGTCACACACTGTATACCAGACACTTTGAGGAGGAAACAACCGAAGGAGTGAAATTCCACAAAAAGAAAACTGAGGTACAGAGAGATTCAGACCACCTGGACAAGAGAAAAAAATAATTGGGTGAAACGTTTATCTTACTGAAACTACAAAATAGCCCAGAAAAAAAGAGCGTAAAAAAAGTGGTAGTGCACCCTGTATACTCAGACTAATCACGGAGGAGGCTGAGGCAAGAGAAAAAAATCAAACTTGAACAACACGGGAACGAGCAAGAAAAGCCCATGCAGTGAGAACCAAGAAGAATCACACCACATAAAAAAGACAACATACCAGCCGTGGTATAATAAGACAAGAGCGTAGCGCATCCATCTCAAAAAATAAATAAATAAAATATAGTCATTAAACAACAGGGTATTACATGTCTGTTTCAAAGAATAACAGTAACACAAAGACCCATCTAACTATCACCTAGAGTATGAACAAAAATATTGGTTTATCAGAAGGCTAAAGGAAAGAACTTTTAACTTTTGAATTAAATGATGCTAGAGCTTCCTTCTTTTCTTTCTCTGTCTTTCTCTCTCTCTCTCTCTCTTTCTTTTGAGACAGAGTCTCGCTTTGTCATCTAGGCTGGAGTGCAGTGGCACAATCTCGGCTCACTGCAACCTCTGCCTCATGGGTTCAAGAGATTCTCCTGCCTCAGTCTCTCGAGTAGCTGGGATTACAGGTGTGTGCCATCATGCCTGGCTAATTTTTTGTATTTTTTAGTAGAGATTGAGTTTCGCTATGTTGGCCAGACTGGTCTTGAACTCTTGGCCTCAGGTGATCCACCACACCTGGCCCATCCTGGTTTCTTAATAGTAAAAATCTAGCAATCTCTTTTGAAACAATAGACGTAAAGAACTATTAGGTTAATATTCTCACACATGAGGATTTTCATACCAGCAGATGGCCCATGCCCCACACCTTGGGGTTGCTGTTTTAGTAGGCCTGCTGGGTCTAGGGTGGAGCACGGACATGTGCCTTATGAAAACCCACCACTTGCTGGGAAACACGGTGTTCTGGATGCCGACAGATCCTGAACACTTGCTTCAGATCATCCACTCTGGGAAGTTAAATTGGGCCTGGGCTGCGTGCTAGGCAAGCCTGGGCTGAACACAGACACTTGAAAACATGGTATATTGAAGCAAATTAGACATAAAAAGTAAAGACTCTCTCTTTCGAAGACGGAATGTCAGGATTGTGCTGCAGTAGGGAGGTAACTCCTCGCGCTCCCTGTTTGGTACATCTGGGGTTATCTGTGCTGACAGTGGGGCTAACGCACTCAGCAAAATGGGCCTTCAGGAGCTGCGGAGCTGAAGAGGCCATCAGAAGCATCCTCATTCCGATGTCACGCAGGTTCCTGACAGCCGTCTCCCCAGTAAGGCTCTCACAGAAACCACCATTTCCAAGTAAGCCTCATACTTGCAGATGTCTGCGGTGGGCCAGTCACACACAGTCCCTATTGCAACATGGTAGGGTCACCAGAAAAGGACAATGCTGTGATTCCTGCTGGAGCCCACACAGGCAGCACAGTGGTTAGGAGCCTCTGGCGCTGCATTCCTGCTGTGCCACTGGCCCTGCCATGATGCAACTTCTCTGTGTCTCTCAGTTTCCTCTTCTGTAAAAACGGGAATGGTGGCATAAATTCTTTTTTTCTAGATGAGTACTTTCTATGGAAAGCACTTAGTTCGTAGCGTGAGCGAAGTAAAGCTGTTATTATTCTCATCCATTCCCAGCTACAATATGTAAACCAGGAAAGGAGAATAGAGAAGGAAACGGATTTTTCACAGTATGGGGGTTCTCAGGAGCACTGTGATGTGCTTGGGCCTGGAGCGGTCAGTTGAATCCATGAGGTGCAGAGGACAAGGCAGAGGGCTGTGAAAGCAAAGGCACAAGGATAGGAAAGGCCAGTGGCGGGGTGCTGTGGGACAGGAGGAGGGGTACAGATGAAGCTCACACTGGGGGTGCAGCCTTGGCTGATGGGAAGGATGAGGTCACAATGGGAGCGGTGTTTAAGAGTCTCCAGTTTGATGGGTCTTACAGAGCCAAGAGCCAGAAATGCTGATTCCTCTAAGATTATTAACTTTTAAAAAGCCTCTATGCGCAAAGAGTTAAGCCGGGCGCAGTGGCTCACGCTTGTAATCCCAGCACTTTGGGAGGCTGAGATGGTGGATCATGAGGTCAGAAGTTCGAGACCAGCCTGGCCAACACAGTGAAACCCCGTCTGTACTAAATATCCACCTTTGCCCATATGAGTCAGACAGAGACAGAGAGAGAGAGAGAGAGAGAGAAAGAAATACGTCAATTAAAAAGGTAATTAAATTAAAAATAATTAATTTTCCTTTCTCTCATCCTCCAAATCTAAAACTCGCCACTGGCCTTTTCTCTAGTGAGAAAAATGCATGGAGCTGTTCATTTAAAGGTTCTGCTCATTTCAAAGTACTTTTCATAAATACTGGCTTCACGCCAGGCTTTCGAGGCAGGAATGCATCACCCATTAATTCAAGCAGAAACGTTCCTTTCCCATGAATCACATAGGAAGGAATATTCCTCATGTTAAAACATTGTTTCATTCATTACAGCTTCCACCATCAAGAAATTTTCTTGTAGAAATCAGTCTAGCAAGTCCTGTAATGTTTAAAATTTGGGGTCACCAAAGGGACACAAGTTGATTTTTGCATATTCCTGGAGCACTGTCACCTCCTCAGCAGTCACCGGCCAGACAGTGCCCGGTTGTTCCCTAGGCTATGCCAACTCCGTCTTGCAGAGAGAGTCTTTTTCCAAGACTGTCCCTGGCCGTTTACTCAAATTGATCAGGGCTAGAGAACTCTGCAAGGCAGCAATTCAGAATCCAGGGCAAGCAACCTTGCCAGAACCCAAACAAAAACACATTTGCAACAGGAAAAGAAAAACCCCATACCCCATAAACTTGTGGGATGAGTAACCCTCTTCACCAGGAGCTTCACCTGGGTGTGTAATCCTGGCCAGTGAAGCACACTGCCCTTTCAAGGACCCCAACGCTCCTGACTCACTGATGGAGTAAAACCATCTGTTACACAATAAACCCAAACCGGGATTAAGGGTGGAATCCCAGAAAGCGATCTTACTGGAATTATAAATCAATGCTCGACCGACTAGTACCTTGAACTTCTTAAAACCAGTTTATCTGAATGCATGTCATAAAATTTTTTGCTGCAATTCAAAGAAGTGGAATCATTAAAAAAAAAAAGAAAAGAGAAAATACCATCCTCATCCTATGAGGATTTACTGAATAAAATGTACCACTCATTTAATTTCTCCATTTTCTGATATTCCAATGAATCAAGGTGGATTTTTACAAGAAGGTAGCATCAGCGTTGGTGAACTTCCAAGCAGCTATTGCAAAATTTCTATTTTAGAGGTGCTTTCAGCAGAACTATCTACGTGGGGTAGAGGATGGTGTGCTAGGGGAGGTACTGCATTTGTAGGGCAAGTGAGATGTTTTCATTTAAGAGTATTTTCTGGGAAGGACAGGTGGATAGAGGTTGAAATGGGGAAAGGTGGGCTAAGACCCCCTTTGGCAATACCTCTGCTTCCAAGACTCTCATAATTTATTTCTAAGGTTGACTAAAGATTCGATTGGAGTAATCATATTGGAGTATTGATTTAATATCACTGTTCTATTGTGTGTGTGTGTACATGTAGATGTATGCGTGGGTGGGATGTGCACGTGTGGGTATGTGTGAGAGGTGAGTGTAAAAGTGACAGAGACAGAGGCAGACTGACAGCCACTGTCTGGAAGCCTTCATTCTGTCAGACGGAAGGAGATCCTATTCTAGATGGACCCTCTTAGAAGGAAGGAACTGAGGGCTAAGGAGATGAAGAGTCTCACTCTAACGACTTAGTGATATGTCAGTACCAGGACACAGGTCTTGCAAATCCCAGTCTAGTTCTTTGCTCTAGATCAGTGATTCTCCAAGTGCAGTGCCCGGGCCATCATCACCAGCACCACCTGCAAGATTTTTAAGATGTACATGCACGGGCCCACTTCAGACTCACAGCATCAGAAACTCGGGATGGAGCCCAGAAATCTCAGCTTTAACAAGGCCTCCTGGGGATTCTGAGGCAGGCTCAAGTTTGGGAACCAACGTAAGAGGGCAAAACAAGATGTTTTCTATTTGACTGATTGACTGATTGATTGATTGACTTGGGGTCTCACTCTATCACCTGGGCTAGAGTGTAGTGGCTCAGTCATGGCTCACTGCAGCCTAAAACTCCTGGGTGTAAGCATAATACATTTTTAGACAGGAAGAGATGACAATGCTGCTACCCTCTTAGTCTGAAAGGAGAAACTGAACTACACATTTCACAAAAGCAGAGGCCAAACTAAGTACATCCAAGAGAAGGGATCAGATGGGGAATGCTTACATTTCATGTCCCAGAGAGACTGTTGAGGGAACTGAGAGGGATTAACCTGTAGAAGAGAAGATTCAAAGGAAACACGATGGTCACCTGGAACTAACAGAAAAGCTGTCCAGTGGCAAAGTGACGAGAATGATTTTTTTTTTTTTTTTTTCCAGCTGGAGTCTCGCTCTGTCACCCAGGCTGGAATGCAGTGGTGCGATCTTGGCTCACTGCAAGCTCCACCTCCCGGATTCATGCCATTCTCCTGCCTCAGCCTCCCGAGTAGCTGGGACTACAGGCACCCGCCACCAAGCCCAGCTAATTTCTTTTTGTATTTTTAGCAGAGACGGGTTTCACCATGTTACCCAGGATGGTCTCAATCTCCTGACCTTGCGATCCGCCTGCCTCGGCCTCCCAAAGTGCTGGGATTACGGGTATGAACCACTGCGCCCGGCCGAGAATGATTCTTACGGCATGTTTTCAAAGTGAACTAGAGAAGGACTGTACAGCCTCCTAAAGTACGAATTGACCAAAGAAGAGTTGGTCACTTTAGAAAGTATGAGCTCCTCATCAGGGCCTGAATATCATTAATGGACAATATTATAGAAGGAATCTGACTACATTAAATTGAAAAATTTCAGAGATTTGAATGGAAAAGATGCCTTAAGGGGCCAGGGGTGGGGGCTCACGCCTGTAATCCCAGTACTTTGGGAGGCTGAGGAGGGTGGCTCATGAGGTCAGGAGTTCAAGACCAGCCTGGTCAAGATGGTGAAACCCCATCTCTACTAAAAATACAAAAAGTAGCCGGGCGTAGTGGTGGCACCTGTAATCCCAGCTACTCAAGAGGCTGAGGCGGGAGAATCGCTTGAACCTGGGAGGCAGAGGTTGCAGTGAGCCAAGATCATGACACTGCACTCCAGTCTGGGCGACACAACAAGACTCTGACAAAGAAAAAAAAAAAAAAAATTCCTTAAGAATATGCATCTATGGATGAGATTATTCAGAAACTTTGTGGATTGAAAAGATGGCAGCTCCTACATCCACGCAGCCTGGCTTCTTCAGAGGAGAGAAAAGACTTAGACTGCACCCTGAAGTATTCAGTATTAAATAAAATGAACTTTCAGACAGTAAATGTTTGACCTACGTGTTTTTCTTACTATGGATCTGTTTCTTCCTCTAAAGGATCAGGTATCATCTGTCTGCCATGGTTTAGGATCTTGCTGGCAGGATGGAAAACGGCCACACCTATCCCTCGCAGGAGGTAATTGGCAGCTAGGAATTTTAGTTCTGGTCTTCCTGTGGAATCTAAACCTGGAGATCTTCACTCGACACCTAAAAGAGCCTATCTTCTTTTCTCCAAGAGAGAAGACAAGAGGTAGCAATTCCAGTAGGCTCCCATCCTGGGACTGGTATTAGGTGACGATGGCTGGGGTCCTCTCTGTAGTTTAAGCGTCTCCCCAGCCCTCCTTCCCATGCTTCTGTGGACAGTGGGATCAGGCCTCTGAACAATGTGTGTCTGGGTCCCCCAGTGGGCCACAAAATTCACACCCTCTAGCCTCCTACTCAATGCCGCCATTTCCTCCTCCCAGGCCACTTCCCTAAATGCTAGTTGTGGGAGGAACAGTGACGTGGGCTTCCTTGGAAGTCAGGGCGGAAAAGGCTCGCTGAATTCTTATGCTCCACATTTCCTTTTGACATCTTCCCTTTGACATCTTTCCTCCCAGAGTCGTTCTGCTCATCAGCACGGTGCTTAGGGGGAATGCCAGAGTCTCCAGCGTGTCCCGGTGTCTTCATGAGGCATAGCAAATGCCGGACCGTATTTCTACCAGGTTTTCCGCCCTTCACTTTCCACCCCAAGCTAAGCATTCTAGGCCACATCCTGTGGGTCCGATCAGGGGCTGGGTGTACTAAGAATGTCTACACAGAACCTCAAACTCATTTTAAAACCATTGTGACTCTGCGGTATGAGGTTATGTTTTGTTTTTTTTCCATCTGCCCCCAGACTAGCCAAGATCAACACTACAAACTGCTAATTCTGAAATGAATGGCACTGCTAACATTTTAGGAAATGACACAGAGGAGAAACAGTATATAGCCTTTGTCCTGAAAAAGTTAAGACACAAGAGCACGACAAAGACATGTGCGGGCAACTGACACTGCTCCTGCCTGTGACGGAGGACAGCTCACCTGGAGCAGAGGGAAAAAGGTCCCAGCCCCACCTAAGCTGGTTTCCCCCTATACCTGCTTTCCTCCCAGTCTCTGGGCTTCTTGGTTTCATTTGGCTTGATGCAGCGAATGTAGTGAGGCGTACATTTCATCAGGGTGCTCACGAGGTCATTGGCTTGTTTCTAGAAAGGAAGAGCAGTATCAGCATCATGGAACTTTCTCTACAGAAGATCAAATTTCAAAGGAGGCTTGTAAAACTCTATTGTAGAAATATATAGCTAGGAATTCATCTTCATGACAATCTGCTCATTAAGCTTAAGTCAGGTCTACTAAACTTTCCGAAAGCTCTGCCGACTTTTATGATGACTTTATCACTCCTAAATGGGTTTGAAATTCAATCTTCAAAAGCAACTAGGCATTTTTAATACAGTAAAGAAAACAGAACAACAACAAAAAGCAAAAATCCCAATAAATCTTCACATACAACATGATTTTCAAGTGGTACAGTGAAGCATGTCAGTTAACAAACTAAGTTCATTTTAGACTGATAGAGGGCCTTTGAAGATATATTGTTCTCATTAACTTTTTGCCCCCAAAATTATTTGTAAGGATAAATCATCAAATCCCCTACATTCTCTTTTCTGGCAATCCGACTAATGAAGAATCACTTTGCTAAAGTGATGAAAATTCACAGTTGAAGAATTGGACATTCATAAAAATTTGAGAATTTATAAACTTTTGATATGCCATTTCATTCAGTTTCTTCCTCAATATGTCCATTTAAAAACCTGCGGAGTCTGAACACTTTCTCTGTGGCTGATATCTCACTTCTTCGCAAATCTAGAATATTCCATATAAAACCATCTATTAATGCCTGTGCGCTGGGTACCCAAAGTATAAATGGATTCAAGCAGAAAAACCACATAAGCAAGAATTGCTCACGAAGTATTTGAAGCCTGAGAATCTCAACCTTTGTTTGAGGAAACGGGAGTAGAGCTCACATCAGCATTCACCCCACAGCTGAGCACGCCCTGTGGGTCCAAGGATGTGGTACACATGCGAACTCCACTTCCAAGCAAAGCAGCATGAAGAGAGAAAACCTCTAAAGAAAAAAGCCAAAAGGGACCTCCAAAGCCAGAAAACGTTACCAAGTCAGCAGAAGGGATTTGCTTGCAAGAGACAACCCTCTCTCAATTAGGACTTTTCTGTTTTCATGGGTTTCGGAAATCTGAAACCCTTGAGAAAAACTATTGAGTATATTCAAAGCAAGATATTCACTGGTGAATGAAAATTCTCTGTTTAGATGTGCAAGGAAATAGCTTTCTTTGATGCTTGAAATTGAGGACAGACAGGGGCAGAGGTTGCATGATCCAAAGCAAAGTCCTATAATGAAAAAGTAAATTGTCTCTTATGTTCTTTGATGATGTAGACTGCACTTGACAACAAATTTGATGATTTTTCCAACACATCAGTAAAGCCAAGAGGGACTGCAGAGTTGAATATAACACAGCTTTTTTTTCTTAAAGTCCCAGATTCTTAATTTTTAAACTTTATTTTAGATTTTGTTTTGTATTTAATTACTTTTTTTTTTTTTTTTTTGAGACAGAGTCTTACTCTGTGGCCCAGGGTGGAGTGCAGTGGCGTGGTCTCAGCTTATTGCAACCTCTGCCTCCCAGGTTCAAGCGATTATCCTGCCTCGCCTCCCGAGTAGCTGGGACTACAGGCACATGCCACCAGGCCAGCTAATTTTGTAATTTTAGTAGAGACAGGGTTTCACTATGTTGGTCAGCGCTGGTCTTGAACTCCTGACCTCGGTGATCACCTGCCTCGGCCTCCCAAAGTGCTGGGTTACAGCGTGAGTCACTGCGCCTGCCTACAACTTATAATTTCCAAGAATAACTTGGCAAACTCTTTTGTCCTAAGTATTTAACAGCATTCCTTCTTTCTCACCTCAGCATAAGAAAACATACAGAGGCAAGTGTGACTTAAGTTATAAGTCACTTGCCATAGTCCTCTCCAGCTAAAATAGTGACAGATAACATTTACTGAGTTTGCAGCATGGATTAGATACATGGATTATCTCATTTATGCCCCACAACAACCTGAAGAGGTAGCGACTATTTAATATTATTCCTGTTTTTAGATGAGAAAGCTGGCTTTAGAAACAAAGTATTGCTCAAGATAACACAATCTGCATGCAAGAGAAGCAAAGCTTGAACCGACATCCACAGGCTACCAAGCCTGTTCTTTGGCAACAATGCTATCCTGCCTTGCTGACAAAGAGAGGGATCTTTTGTGTGATATAAAGGAATTAACTGGGTGAGGTAGGGGTTAGACAGAAGCCACCAGGCTGTGAATAATTTCAACAAACAGGAAATACATCTTAACCATCAAAATTATCCTGCATTTCAATAGCTATGGGTCAACTTTATTTATTTATTTAATTTTTGAAACACAATCTTGCTCTGTTGTCCAGGATGGAGTAGAGTGGCATGATCACAGATCACTGCAGCCTAGGCCACCCAAGCTCAAATGATCCTTCCACTTAAGCCCTCTGTGTAAGCTAGGACTGGAAGCACATGCCACCACACCCAGCTAATTTTTAAAAAAAATGTTTTTGTAGAGATGGGGTCTCACTATATTTCCCAGGCTGGTCTCCAATCCTGGCCTCAAGCAATCTTCCCCCCTTGGCCTCCCAGAGTGCTGAGATTACAGGTATGAGCCACTGTGCCCAGCCTTGGGTCAACTTAAGATGTCTGCTGAGGTGGTTGTGAAGCAGTAACTCAATTTAATCCTGATTCCAGCCAAGAAGGGTCCCCGAGTTAGGACAGAAAGGCACCAATAGCACTTGCTCAACAGAAGCAGGTGTTAAAATATACAGACAGCACAGTGAGATAGGGCTTAGGGTGAAAGCTCCTCTTCTACCTTCAGAGATGACAGCAGGCCTGACTGTGGGTCCTGGCACTTTTATTTGCAAGCTACATGACTAATCACTAGATTTCTCTGGCCCTCAGTTCTCTATCTGTAAACTAAGTAGGTTGAACTAGAAGACCTCTAATTTAATCTAGAGATTGAAATAGACATTAAAAAACAAACAATCAGGCCAGGTGCAATGGCTCACTCCTGTAATCTCAGCACTTTGGGGGGCTGAGACAGGCGGATCAATTGAAGTCAGGAGTTTGAGACCAGCCTGGCCAACATGGTGAAAACTCATCTCTACTAAAAAAAAAACAAACCCAAAAAATTAGCCAGGTATGGTGGTGCCGCCTGTAGTCCAGCCACTTTGGAGGCTGAGGCAGGAGGATCGCTTGAATCTGGGAGGCAGAGGTTGCAGTGAGCCAAGATCACATCGCTGTACTTCAGCCTGCGTGACAGAGCAAGGCTCCATTTCACACACATACACAAAAAACAAAAACAAAAAACAAACCAAAAAAACCCCCAACCAATCCAATCACCTACATGATGCCTACACCTCCTCTGTCATGTCCCTTACAGCTCCAGCTGCACTCAGGTAAAGCTGTAACCAGTCCGTCTTTGCCACCTCTGGGCTTGATTCTGTTTCTCTGTACCATCAATCTTTCACTCTAATTTAAATATGGGACGAATATTCCTTATCCGAAATGCTTGGGATCAGAAGTGTTTCGGATTTTGGATTTTTTCAGATTTTGGAATATTGGCATTATACTTTCTTTCATTTTTTGAGACGGAGTCTCGCTCTGTCGCCCAGGCTGACACATCAATGGCACAATCTCGGTTCACGGCAACCTCCATCTCCTGGGCTCAAGTGATTCTCCTGCTTCAGCCTCCTGAGTAGCTGGGATTATAGGCGCCCTCCACCATGCCCAGCTAATTTTTTTTTTTTTTTTGAGACGGAGTCTCGCTCTGTCGCCTAGGCTGGAGTGCAGTGGCGCAATCTTGGCTCACTGCAAGCTCTGCCTCCCAGGTTCACGCCATTCTCCTGCCTCAGCCTCCCGAGTAGCTGGGACTACAGGTGCCCGCGACCACACCCGGCTAAGTTTTTTGTATTTTTAGTAGAGACGGGGTTTCACCATATTAGCCAGGATGGTCTTGATCACCTGACCTCGTGATCCGCCTGCCTCGGCCTCCCAAAGCGCTGGGATTACAGGCGTGAGCCACTGCGCCCGGCCTAATTTTTGTATTTTTAGTAGAGATGGGGTTTCACCATGTTGGCCAGACTGGCCTGAAATGATCCACCCATGTTGGCCTCCCAAAGTGCTAAGTGGCCATGAGCCACCGTGCCCGGCCTGCATTATACTTTATAGTAGAGTATCCCGAATGTGAAAAGCTGAAATCCAAAATGCTCCAAAATTTGAAACTTTTTGAGCACCAACATGATGCTCAAAGGAAATGCTCGTTGGAGCATTTCAGGATTTGGGACGCTCAACCTGTACTGGTCCCTTCCAGACACAACAATATCGAATTAAGTAAAACCTCAAAATCAAGTGCTATTAAATATTACTATATTTATACTTTTACTTATAATCAAGATAATAAGAGTTCCCATCAAATGAATATTCTATTAGTTAAATCCTACAAATCAGTTTACATGTTTAAATAATTACAAGATAATGAAATATATAACACTACGATGACCTTGAACACCAGTTTAATTTTTCTTTCAAGGAACTCAGAACCCTTTTAAATGCTTATGCCTCAGGGATATTGTTAAGATGACAGTGATGTCTGCAAAATACTGTGGATATGGAATGTATCGGAGATTGGGCCATGGCTTTGTAGCTGTAAGAGGTACTGGGAGAAATTTTATTCCTATGTGGAGGCAGACAGCCAGGCAGACAGAGGTCACAACATCCACCGAGGAGAGTGTGCCTGGAGGTGGGAAAACATGCTGTACTCTCTTTAGGTAAACTGGCTGACTTCAGCTTGACCTCCCTAGAAAAGGGCCTGAGACTTGTAAACCTAAACATTTTGGAAACACCCCACACAATGATGGCACTTTGAACCTTCAACCAGACAAGCATATGAAGGAAAAGAAAGGGGACAAATCTTCAAGGAGGAAAAAAGTGTCCCTACCCTTGCTCTCCTTTTTATAGAGAATAATCCAGACCACTTGGAAATGAGTCATCATAACCTGGATGATCCGGGCCCCTTGGATCTGAATGTGACAGTCTTATGACTCGATTTTCCAGCCCAGAGTTAATCCTTATCCAGCACTTTGCAGTAAAGGCATGAGTCAGAAACTTCACACAGACAGTAATGTCTGGGCCTCATGAGAATTTCATCTGTTTTCTGCCTTCAGCTTTCTGCTCCAGTGAGCCTAACCCAGTGGCTGTCCTGGGGCTACTAAATTTCTCTAGTTCTTTCAATATGATGTTCTTGACACTCAGAGGGCTCTACCCTACAGCTGAAAGCCCAGGTTGGACTCGGTTGCTTGCAGCACCTGTAATCCCAGCACTTTGGGAGGCTGAGGCGGGAGGATTGATTGCTTGAGCCCAGGAGTTCAAGACCAGCCTGGGTGACATTGTGAGAACTCAACTTTACAAAAAAGGAAAAAGCAACAATTAAGCAGAGACCAACAACGGTGATATAGGAATGGGGCTAAAGGGGAAGAATGTAGTCAGAGCACATATATACATCTTGTGTTCAGTATGCCTTAGGCACTGCGTTACATGCTTCCGATGAATTATGAAGCTGAAGCATCACAGTAATCTCTTAAGATAGACACCAATATCTCCATTTTACAGGGAAGCGGTGAGGGCACTGAGAGCATAAGTAACACCTTGGCAAGCACACAGCGAGGAAAACCCAGAGCTGAGATTCAAACACAGGCAAGCAAACTCAAAGCCCTGCTGTCACTCAACCATTCCTTTGATTGAAAAACTGAGGAAGTATTTAGCTGGTATAATTTTTTTAAAAAATTATTCTTAACCAGCATGATTTTTAAAAATAGCTTAGTGAATATTTCTTAGAGTTACAAGATTAAGTGTGTGTGACACAATGACAAAAACTTTTTTTTTTTTTGAGACAGGGTCTCGTTCTGTCCCCCAGACTGGAGCAATCACAGCTCACTGTAGCTTTGACTTCCTTGACTAAAGCGATTCTCCTGCCTCAGCCTCCCAAGTAGCTAAGAGCATAGGTGTGAGCCACCACATCTAATTTTTATTTTTAGTAGAGATGGGGTTCTCATTATGTCGCACAGGTTGGTCTCAAACTCCTGGGGTCAAGTAATCCTCCCTCCTTGGCCTCCAAAAGTGTTGGGATTACAGGCCTGAACCACTACATGTGGCTGACACAGACTTTTTTTTTCGAGACAGAGTTTCACACTTCTTGCCCAAGCTGGAGTGCAATGGCGCTATCTTGGCTCACTGCAACCTCTGCCTCCCGGGCTCAAGTGATTCTCCTGCCTCAGCCTCCTGAGTAGCTGGGATTACAGGCGCCCACCACCACGCTTGGCTAATTTTGTATTTTTAGTAGAGACAGGGTTTCTCCTCTCCATGTTGGTCAGGCTGGTCTTGAATTCCCGACCTCAGGTGATCCACCTGCCTCGGCCTCCCAAAGTGCTGGGATTACAGGCATGAGCCACTGCGCCCGGCCCACAAACTCTTAATTCAGAGTGTAATTAGGGACAACGAATTTTGCCACACAATGGCTCAGGTACCACAGAACCCTGCCTACTTCCTGAGAAACACTGTAAGATTTCCTTCAGACTTTGAGACACCACGTGGCCAGATGTGTCTTCAATTCCCAGCAAGGAAAGGCCTGCAGGGCCCAGCGAGGAGGGACGCATAAATTGCCCCTAAAAGACCAAGTAGAATTTCTGGCAAGTAACGTTCCATAACTGGCAGGTTTTTGGGCTTGGCCTGGAAAACTGTCATCAATATCCAAAACATGGCTCCGAACCACAAAATTTCCCTGATAGTTTAACATAAATTCTTCCAGATTCTGTATAAAGCCATTTCCTCTTAGAAAGTAGCTGATTATCAGCTGCTGACTATTAAGCTATGAGGTACTCAAACCATTTAAGGTTTTGGTAAAGCCAAGTCAAATTCAGCTTGCGTCCTGGAACCTTTTAACAAGCAGCGACATTACTTCTGAGCATCTTCTGTAACCATCTCCTCACATCTCGCTGACCTCATATCCTGGCCCAGGGGTGCAGTTCCTGACTCCTAGGAAGCCCTAGCCCTTTTAAGAATCTATAAATCTCCTAAAATAGAACTAACCTTTATTTTGCTTCCGGCAGTAGTTGGGCGCCCTTTCTTGTCAGCTTGCAGATTTTCCGGAAATAAAGACTTTATGAAAGGCCTGGAAAAGGAGAAAGAGAATGAATTAGCAATCTGTAAGTACCTTGGGGTCTGAAAGCCTGCCTTTTTAGAGGATGGGGTGGAGGGCCGTCCCCAGGCACATAACCTTGGCTACAGAAAAGCCATCTGACTCACAGCGCAGGCCATCAAGATGTGACTTGGGGAAATGACCAATGGACGAAAGACATGAAAGGAAAGAATTCTAAGATATAAGCAACTTGGAATCAAAGACTGCAAAATAAATTTTAAAACGTTGCTTTCCAACGTCCCTAGTCACAGGAATTGAGGTGTATCTTGACAGTAGAACATAACAGAGGGAGGTCAGTAGGGGACTTCAGGTTTTCGTTTTCTTTTGTTTTTGAGACAGGGTCTCGCTCTGTTGCTCAGGCCAGAGTGCAGGGGTTCAATCATGGCTCACTGCAGCCTCGACCTCCCAGGCTCAAGCCATCTTCCCACCTCAGCCTCCTGAGTGACTGGGACTATAGGCAGGTGCCACCACATCCAGCTAATTCTTGTATTTTCTATAGAGATGGGGTTTTGCCATGTTTCCCAGGCTGGTCTCAAACAACTGGGCTCAAGAGGTGTTCCTGCCTCAGCCTCTTGAAGTGTTAGGACTACAGGCATGAGGCACTATGCCCGGCCAGCATGTGTTTGTTAACACAAGCAAGCTAGACCAGAACTCGGGGAATTATATGAAATATCTGGATTCAGTGCAGATGCTGCTTTGCTCTAAAGCAGTTTCTGAGCCTGGGCACCACTGGTATCTGCGGCTGAATAATTCTTTGTTGGGGGCTGAGGAGGGGGCCTCTTCTACATATTGTGGGATATTTAGCAGCATCCATGGTCTCTGTTCACCAGATGCCAGTACCGCACTGTTCCCAGCTCTACACAGAAAACCCTGACAAACTGCTTTTGAGTATGAGCAATTTTAAGTGGAGCAGTAACAAATCATGAGCACTCTGCCTCCTGAATATACTTTCTTTTCTTTTTTTTGAGACAAAGTCTCACTCTGTCGCCAGGCTGGAGTGCAGTGGTGTGATCTTGGCTCACTGCAACCTCTGCCTCCCAGGTGCAAGAGATTCTCCTGCCTCAACCTCCTGAGTAGCTGGGACTACAAGCGCAAACCACCACACACAGCTAATTTTTGTATTATTAGTAGAAACAGGGTTTCACCATGTTGGCCAGGATGGTCTCGATCTCTTGACCTCGTGATCCACCTGCCTTGGCCTCCCAAAGTGCTGTGATTACAGGTGTGAGCCACCGTGCCCGGCCTGTATATACTTTCATTAGTGGTGCTATTTGAGCTGCATGTGTTTACATGTCTGCCTCACTAGCAACAGGACAGGGACAATGCCTTCCTCATCTTAGTGTCCCTGGTGTGTCTGAAGCATAGCATGGTACACAGTTGGTCCATAATATATATTTGCTGACTGGGTGAATGACGGGATCCATGTAAATTAGCAATCTGACATTCAAACTCAAACTCACTTCCTCCTCAATGACTTTTTGGGCATCTTGAATGTTCCAGGAAGTCTCCCTAGCAATCTACTTTTAACTTGACCAGACACGACTACAGATTTTGACATCAAATGTGTTTATAAAATAATAGGCCATGTCTATATGACAGCAGTTTATATGGAAGCAATAATAGCTCTTAAACTTGGCAGGAATTTTAATAAGTTTTTAAAAACAATCTCCGGAAGCAAGTCTGCACCTGACTGCCATAAAACCCACAAGCCAGGACTTGTGGCTTACCTAATCATCTCAGAGAAGAATCGATCGATTTTGTATGTTGTGAATAAAAAGAAATGCAAAATCTCAAAAATGGTGGTGTGACTGCAAAGAAGGGCAGAGATGGAGAGCAGAGGGTGAGGAGGGGCAGGGAGCGGCAGAGAGAGAATTAAATGGAGCAGAACAGCTGTCCAGGGCCTGAAAAGGAAACTCTTGCTTTGCTTTCATTGCAGTCAGTCCTTTATTAGGAAATTATCAGGCTCGCTGCTGTTGATTAGAGGAACTGGCCTTGCTGTTGTGACAGCTTAAGTAATAGAGACCAGAAGGGCAACTCTTACTTGAAATAAGCTCTAGAAATTGTTAGATCTGGCATGCATGGGCCTTGCCTTGCAAGCATGGACCTGCTCATGTAAATTACATCTTCTTATGTGTTATTCAGGATCTTGAGAACCTTTTCAGGGAAGAGAGGAGGAAAGCAGAGGTGGTCCTGACAGTTCTAGCAGTGTGCAAGGGGGATACCGCCACTGTTCTACCCCTATAGCTGAAACAGGGTCTTGGGAGTTAAAATGGATCTCTGAGTCACTCCTTCTTTAGTTGTCCCTCCCAGAGTTCTCAAGCCATTTCTTAAGTACTTCAGGGACTCTGGTTAATGTGGGTCTTGCTAAGCCATTAAACATCTTTAAACATTCAAAGACCATGAAGAAGAGTTCAAGGGCAAAATGTCATAGAACCAGACTGTTCCACTCTTAAATGGTCAGAAATGGCCATCCCAATCCAAAGCCAGTGGGCTCACTTCTCCCTGATAATAGTATTGAAAGGTAGAAAGTCTGATGCCCTCAAGGGCCTGTAGACGGCACTTGGAATTTGGGCGCATGAAGTGTTAGGGACATAAAAGGGACAGACTGATACAGAGAAAAGAAAGCTATTTTGAGAAACCAAATAGATCAATAATAATCCAGACCCAATAGCACGAAGGAACAAAATCCTAACCACTAAACATCACAGGTGTTTTGTTTTTTGTTTTTTCTTTATTAGAGACACGGTGTTCCTATATTGCCTGGCTGGAGGGCAGTGGCTCTTCATAGGAGTGATCGTAGCTCACTGCAGCCTCAAACTCCTAGGATCAAGTGATCCTCCTGCCTCAGCCTCCCGAGTCGCTGGGACTATAGGAGCACACTACCACACCCAGCTCATAAGTTTGTTTTCATATTGAAAATTTCATCAAACCTATATCCCCTGTCAGCTATGGCAAAACATACTTACAGCTCACTGCTCTGCATAAGCTCAATGAGATCCATAAAAAGCACATCCCGGTTCCTTTCACAAAAGCCATCCATGTCATAGGATACCTGGCCAAGAACGGAAAGAAATCTAATTTCATTGAACAAAATGTAATTTCATTGAACAAAATGTGATTCATTGAACAAAATCGTTTATTGAACAAAAAATCTAATTTCACCAAACAAAAAACCCAAGTTGCCATGGCCATCCTCACCACAACGTGTGGATTTCCAGATGTTGCATTTGGGATTTCATTGTGCACTGTCACAGGAAGGTTGTGCATGTCTTACTTGTTAGCTGACTTAGCGGGGATGACCTGCAGATGCTGATGAGTATCTGCCTGCCTGGATGGCCCAGGTGATCCATAATCAGAACTCCAGCTCTCAAGGCCCCATACCCCTTTTTCAGTGGATTCATAGGGGTGTCTAAATGACAAACTCAATTCTTTTCCTAAATTCTAGCTAAGACAGAGCAAAAGCGAAGCCCCTCATGCTCAGTAATTCATTGCAATGAGCCATGTCATCTGAGGCTTTGCAATTTCTCCCAGAAGCAGTATCGAATTTGCACCAATCTGGCCAGAAACTCATGCTCAGATACTCTGTTTAACAAGAGGTCAGCTGGGATGATGGATGAGACCAGGGGATTTCCATAAGACCAGGAAGTCCCCAAGACCATGACCTCAAATTACTTTTTTATCATCTGCAGTCCCACACAGCCTGGCACCCACTAGGCACCCAGTACTCATGGGTTTTATGAGAACAAACACCAAAAGTGAACTCTGGGCCTTGATTTATACTCCCAGTTGGCATGGGGAGACAAGGAATGCCAGTCTGTGATTCCAGCAAGAGGCAAGACGAAAATCTATTTCTTCAGCAGCTAATATATGTAGCAGGATGATTCATGTTCCAAAAATATGCAGTAGTATGGTGAGATTTAGTGCTGGAGTGACTCCCAGCTGGCCCCTACCCTGCTCAAGCTTCAGTTGACTGTCCCAACTGGCCAGTGCGGGTCCTGGCCAGGACTGGCACCAAGGCAGCGGGATCCTTTCAAAATAGGCCTCCAGCGCCGTAGACCAGAAAGCAGGAGCCCACTTCTCGGACACTGGGAGATGGTGCAGGCAGCCACCAGTACGCAACGCACAGCGCCCTATCCTTCCCGGCAGGGTCATGGTTCAGAAAACGTAACCTTATTTTCATCTGTAGATAATAGAAGCATTTTTCCTTTGCACTCATACTAAAAATAAAAAACTAGTAATCCCAGGGATCTGGGTTAGCTTCTTCAGCATGTCAACTATTGATGAGAACACTCTTTGTAAAACGAACTCCAGAAATCACTTGCTAGAGAAGCAGCCCTTCACTGCCTTAGTCTGAGCACCCACAGAAAGCACGTGTCGGAGACGCTGGAAAGGCCCACGCAGCCGCAGTAGAGGGCCAGGGGGCGGGTCATGCGCACCCGCAGTAGAGGGCTGAAGGTCCTGCCAACGGCTCTCTTGGTGTCTCAACGTTCTGGTCAGCAGCTTTTTGCCGTTTCTCTCTCTCCACTTCTTGAGCGAGCAGCCATGAGTTGGACTGTGCCTCTTGTGCGGGCCAGCCAGAGAGTGAGCTCGGTGGGAGCGAATTTCCTGTGCCTGAAGATGGCCCTGTGTCCCTGTCAGGCAGCGCGCATCCCACTCAAGGGCGCCTGGCGCTTCACCTCCGTGAGCAAGATGGCGACTGTGAAGAGTGAGCTTATTGAGCGCTTCACTTCTGAGGAGCCCGTTCATCACAGTAAGGTCTCCATCATAGGAACTGGATCGGTGGGCATGGCCTGCGCTATCAGCATCTTATTAAAAGGCTTGATCGATGAACTTGCCCTTGTGGATCTTGATGAAGGCAAACTGAAGGGTGAGACGATGGATCTTCAACATGGCAGCTCTTTCACGAAAATGCCAAATATTGTTTGTAGCAAAGATTACTTTGTCACCGCAAACTCCAACCTAGTGATTATCACAGCAGGTGCACGCCAAGAAAAGGGAGAAACGCGCCTTAATTTAGTGCAGCGAAATGTGGCCCTCTTCAAGTTAATGATTTCCAATATTGTCCAGCATAGTCCCCACTGCAAACTGATTATTGTTTCCAATCCAGTGGATATCTTAAGTTATGTAGCTTGGAAGCTGAGTGCATTTCCCAAAAACCGTGTTATTGGAAGCGGCTGTAACCTGGATACTGCTCGTTTTCGTTTCTTGATTGGACAAAAGCTTGGTATCCATTCTGAAAGCTGCCATGGATGGATCCTCGGAGAGCACGGAGACTCAAGTGTTCCTGTGTGGAGTGGAGTGAACATAGCTGGTGTCCCTTTGAAGGACCTGAACTCTGATATAGGAACTGATAAAGATCCTGAGCAATGGAAAAATGTCCACGAAGAAGTGATTGCTACTGCCTATGAGATTATTAAAATGAAAGGTTATACTTCTTGGGCCATTGGCCTATCTGTGGCTGATTTAACAGAAAGTATTTTGAAGAATCTTAGGAGAACACATCCAGTTTCCACCATAATTAAGGGCCTCTATGGAATAGATGAAGAAGTATTCCTCAGTATTCCTTGTATCCTGGGAGAGAATGGTATTACCCATCTTATAAAGATAAAGCTGACCCCTGAAGAAGAGGCCCGTCTGAAAAAAAGTGCAAAAACACTTTGGGAAATTCAGAAGGAGCTCAAGATTTAAAGTTGTCTAAAACTACCATTCCGAAATTATTGAAGAGATCACAGATACAGGATTATATAACGAAATTTTGAATAAACTTGAATTCCTAAAAGATGGAAACAGGAAAGTAGGTAGAGTGACTTTCCTATTTATTTAGTCCTTCAGCTCTTTTATTTAGCATCCACGTGCTGGATGATACTTATTTACAATTCCTAAGTGTTTTTGGTACCTCTGATGTAGCAGCACTCGCCTTGTTATATACATGTTGTTAGCATTTGGTTCCCAAAAAGTAGGATGTAGGTATTCATTGTGTTCTAGAAATTCTGAGTCTTTTCATTAGATATATGCTATTTCTTTCATTCTTGCTGTCTTACACCTATGTTCATTTATACGCTGTAAAGTAGTAGCTTCTTCTACAGTATAAAAATAAAAGTATGTACATACAAAAAAAATATGCAGTAGTATATACAATCTTTTGTTTTGCTTCCTTTGATAGTCAATAAGTTCTATTTGTTGAATGAATAAAATACGGCGAGGCATATGATTTGCTTCATGAGAAACCGGATCACAGACCCAAAAGCTTAAAACAGATAGACATTAAAATGGATATTGGCCATACCTTCCCAGCATAATGATGAATGATGAAGCCTTGGTTCCAACTGTTGAAGTGCTCATGACTCCCAATCTGCATCTGAAGTTTCTGGAGCAGTGTCTGATCTGCCCCCTCACCAACCGCATGCATCGTGGCGCACACATCATCCAGGATGCTCATGATGCCAGGAGGGTTCTGATGGGAGCAAGAAGGCAAGGCCCTAGTCACTGACCTCTCCAAAACAGACAATGCTTATCAGGTCCTTTCTTAGGGAAGGAAACAGCTCCCCAGACTTAAGATACCATCTTGAAAGTCAGTCTTCCCCTTCAGGCAAGAATGCAATTAATAGTCCCAAATTGGAAGTCACCACTTAGATCTAAAGAGGGAGGAAACTCCATTTTCCAAAAAGCTGTTTAACTCCCTGAAGTTTTATCCAACTGTCATGCACAGATCATTATCTGCTCACTCATATTCATGCCAAATTGACTTAAGAATCCAAAAGTAAAATAAAAACATTTTCCTTTGACCTAATCTATTTCTTAATGTTCTCTTTCAGCATGTTACCCATATAGGCATCATTTATATAGTTATTTAGTGTACACACTCTATAATGCATTTCCTTTTTCACATAGCACTATTTTATAAGCATTCCTCATGTTTTACATATTCTTCATACTTCCTATGTTAATGGCTGTATTTCTCATTTGTTTAATAACTAAGTTGTCTGGCTGGGCATGGTGGCTCATGCATGTAATCCCAGTACTTTGGGAGGCCGAGGTGGGTGGATCATGAGGTCCGGAGTTCGAGACCAGCCTGGCCAACTGGCCAACATGGTGAAACCCCTGGGCAACAGAGCGAGATGCCTCTCAAAATAAATAAATAAATAAATAAGTTGTCTACGGATGTTTTCACTGTTTCCAGTGTTTGGCTTTTTTATATATATATATATAAAAAATCCTATAGAGATATTTGTTCTGTATCACTTTTCTTTTATTTTGAATCATCTTTTTTTCTTTTGAGACAGGGTCTTGTCTTGCTCTGTCACCCAGGCTGGAGTGCAGTGGCACAATCTCAGCTCACCACAGCCTCAACCTCCCAGGCTCAAGCGATCCTCCCACCTCAGCCTCCAGAGTAGCTAGGACCACAGGTGCATGCCACCATGCCTGGCTAATTTTTGTATTTAGCTAATACAATTTTTGTATTAGCTAAATTTTCTGTTTGGAAACAGGGTTTCACCATGTTGCTGGGGCTGGTCTTGAACCCCTGTGCTCAAGCGATCCACCTGCCTCGGCCTCCCAAAGTACTGGGATTACAGGCATGAGCCACCATGCCCAGCCTGAATCAGTCATTAAGGCTAAAGTCCTAGAAGTTGGACTAGAACACAGGGCCAGTTTTATGGCTCTTCACATGCTAAGTCATCGTGTGATAGCTGTCTTCTCTTAGAATCAGTAACAACTTCCATTTGTAAATTGACATTTTACTCATATCCACATGTTCATATTTACTGCCAGAATAAAGCCCTACTGTTTTCTTTTCACACATACAGAAAACTAATACAATTGCTCAAATTCTCTGCAAATCAGAGTTGTCACTTTGCCTGTTCCAAAACAACGACACAGAACAGAAACTCACTTAATGTAAACCTGTGAGCAGTGAAGACATACTAAACCAACACTTACCACTTTGTTCTCTATGAGGTCACATACAATTTTATTATTAAAGTACTCAATGGGTGTCCATCTTATTCCCTCTTGAACATATTCTTCCTGTAAGACAGAAACCAGGAACTCACATTATTTCCCAAATAGCAAGAGCTCTGCACGGACAGACCCTGAATGGACAAAAATTCCCATGAAAGAGAAAAACCTGAATGTCCTTCAACAAATACCAGGAACTTTAATTTCTTATTTTCTAAGAGGTAACAGGAAAGGAACACTTTATGACTTGGTGATTTTTATGTTTAGTTTGAACCCTATGAAATTGTTGCCACACAATTGTTTCTGGCCAACGAAAACTGCAATTTAGTAGCACCGAACTCATAAATCCAGTTACAAAAAAAAAATCACAAAACTTAAAATTTAACATAGGGCTGGGCGCAGTGGCTCACATCTGTAATCCCAGCACTTTGGGAGGCCGAGGTGGGCGGATCACAAGGTCAGGAGTTCGAGACCATCCTGACCAACATGGTGAAACCGTCTCTACTAAAATTACAAAAAGTAGCTGGGTGTGGTGGGGTGCGCCTATAATCCCAGCTACTTGGGAGGCTGAGGCAGGAGAACTGCTTGAACCCAGGAGGTGGAGGTTGAAGTGAGCCGAGATCGCGCCACGGCACTCCAGCCTGGGTGACAAAGCAAAACTCCATCTCAAAAATAAATAAATAAATAAATAAAAATTAAAATTAAATATAGGACAGGAGTAGATTAGCATCCAGGTACTTAATGGGAAGGTTCTTCAGTCTATCAGAGGCTCATTTAACTTGAAAACCATGACACTATCCTGGTTTTTTCTTCTTTCCTCACTGGTTTCACTTTGCCGGCTTCCTTTGCTAGCTCTTTCTTATTTCCAGAACTTTATATGTGGTGGAGTCTCAGGGGTCAATCTTTCAGCCTTCTTGTTTTCTCAGCCCTCCTTCTCTAGGTGATTTCTATCAATCCCATGGCTTTAAATACATCACCTACAGGTTAATGACCCCTGAATTGATTTCTCATCTATATCTCGCCAAGGGGTTCCAGACTCAAATCCATTCTACAGACCGGAATCTTCGCTTGGATGTACAATAAATGGGCCTCTCCAACTTAACCTGTTTAGAGGAATTCTGATTCCATATTTCCCATGACCTCCAAACAACCCCTCTTCTCATCTCACCCTCCAGTAAATACTGTCACCATCAGCCCTGTTATCCAGGGTATAAAGCTAAGAATCACCCATGATTGCTCCTTCTTTCTTGGCCATTGCTAATTATTTTGAGCAAGTCCCATTCTCTCACTCTCCAGATACTCCCTCTCACCACCTGGACTGCTACCATCGCCGTCTGAGTCTCTACCACATCTAACGCAGTCTCCTGCAGTATCCCCATCACTGGTTTTTTAACTTCCATTCTAGTTTGCTTTCCCCTGCCTCACCCCACTCTATAAGCCTACAGAGCCAGAGTGACCCTTTCAAAAACGCAAACAACAAATCAGATCATGTCACTCCTCCCTCAAAATTCTTCAATGGGTCCTCATTCCACTTACTATAACACCCAAAGTCTCAGCCATGCCCTACAATTTCCCATATGATCTAGCCCCTGCCTCCCTGCTCCCATCTCATTGACTATTGTGCTCTTTCTTGGTTGTTTTTCTCTGGCTACTCTAAGGGTTGGGGAAGGCTAGAGGTTCACGGGAAACCCATATGGAGACGACCAAACCAGTTTGGAGACTACTGCAGGAGACTGGGCTAGACGTGGTAGGGACTTAGATGGCAACGGTAGCAATGGGTTTCATGTGAACCTCTAGCCTTCCCCACCCCTGAGAGTAGCTACAGTAAAACAACCAAGGGTGGGTTCCAGGGCAGAAGGTCACGTGAAACCCGCTGGTATGGTGTTTCCTAAGCACAGGCATAAACACTTCCATAACTAAATGACCCCAAAACAGCCTTTGATGTATACAGTGGCTTGAATAGTATCCCCCCAAATTTCACATCCACCTGGAACCTCAGAATGTGTGAGGTTTGGAAGTAAGGTCTTTGTAAATGTAATTCACTAAGGATCCCACCGTAAGGCATCCTGGGTTTAGCGTGAACTCGAAATCCAAAAAAATGGTGTCTTTCTTTTCTTTTTCTTTTTCTTTTTTTTTTTTTTTTTTTTAACAGTTCACTCTCCATAGAGACTGTCAAAAATCGTCAATGCCGACTATATTTCAAGGCGTCATGGCAGGGTATTGTGAAAAGTTTTCAATTAGCAATAATCATGCCTCAGATAAACCTCACTGGCTAAAATATTGCCATTGCACAAAGCTAAAATGGTATCTTCATAAAAGAAAAGAGATGGAGATTTGGATGGAGACACAGGGGGACATTGGAAAAGGCTACGTGAAGACACAGGCAGAGATTGGAGTCAAACTGCCAGAAGCCAAGAAATGTCAGGAGCTACCAGAAACTAGAAGAGGAAAGATTCTCCCCTCTATCCTGAGAAGGAGTGTGGCCCTGAGGACTTCCTGATTTCAGACTCTGGGCTCCAGAACTGGGAGGGAAGAAACTGCTACTGTTTCAAGTCACTCAGTTTGTGCTGCTTTGTTATGGTGGCCCCAGGAATCCTAAACAATATGCTATCAGGAAACGATGGAAACTGCACCGAACTATTTATTTATTTAAAGTCCCATTCTCTCACTCTCCAGATACTCCCTCTCTGTTGCCCAGGCTGGAGTGCAGTGGTGTGATCTCAGCTCACTGCAAGGTCCGCCTCCCGGGTTCAAGCGATTCTCCTGCCTCAGCCTCCGGAGTAGCTGGGTCTACAGGCACGCACCACCATGCCTAGCTAATTTTTGTATTTTTAGTAGAGATGGGGTTTCATCATGTTGGCCAGGCTTGTCTCGAATTCCTAACCTCGAATGGTCTGCAGGTCTCGGCCTCCCAAAGTGCTGGGATTACAGGCGTGAGCCACTGCACCTGGCTACTATTTATTTTTGAAACAGAGTCTTGCTCTGTTGCCTAGGATGGAGTGCAGTGGTGTGATGATGTAAGTCTCGACCTCCTGGGCTCAAGCAATCTTTTCACCTCAGCCTCCAGAACAGCTGGGACGATAGGCTTATGCCACCACATCCAGCTAATTGTTTTATTTTTTGTAGGGATGGGGTCTCATTTTGTCCGGCAGGCTGGTCTTGAACTCCTGGACTCAAGCAATTCTCCCGACTTGGCCTCCCAGAGTGCTAGGATTACAGGCATGAGCCACAGTACCCGACCTGCACCCAACTTTAGAAGAAACTACAGCAAGGCACGTTACCTCAGGTAAGTATTGAAATACCAGCTTTGTTAAAAATGCATGTATTGTTAGGGAAGATTGAGAATGGAGTAAATCTGAGAAAACCAAGTCTTTTATTTGGAACACAATATATGCCTCAGACAGTTGGGGCTGGAACTAGGCTCCCATTTCCCACGTGCTCAGTGAGTCAGTATAGTAAAAGCAGCCAGGCTTACGTCCAACATCACAGCATCATTTGCTTAAAGAAGAAGGCAAATGCTGCAGATGGTATTTATATTTCATGGATTAAAATACCACAATGGCGTATGGTTTTTCTGCCTGACTTTATTAGGTGCATTTCCTAATATAAGAGTGGAACCCAAATCTATTATCAAAAGACAGAAATCGATACCCTTGTAAACAAAATAAATTATAAATAGAATAGGATGAAGGACGAGGGACTGCTTACCTGTTCCGCCTTTAATGTCAGTTCAATAAAAATCTGCTGCAGTTTTTCATTAACAAAATTGATACAAAACTGTTCAAAGCCATTTTTCTGAAAAAAAAAAAAGTTATTCACATGTAATTGTTTCACAAAATCATTTAAAAGTCATTTCTTGAGTGATTTATTGAAATGTCTTCATATGAAAAGCTTTCATAGAAATGTTGGATGCATCAATAGAAAGAAGTTTATATTTAGGAGAAACTAATTTGGTAAAGGTACGCGAAGAACTCACAAAGGCCAAAATGAGCCTGAGTGGTTTTTTTTTGGTTGTGGTTTATTTTCTGTTTTTTTGTGTTTGCATTGCCTAGAATTATTTCTTGCAGGCCAGATGAAATATGCCACCCTCCTCAACCCCTAGTTATTCAAACTGGCCTTACCTGGAATATTTCAAAGCCATAGATGTCTAGGACGCCAATGTTGTATTCTTCATGGTCTTTCTGCATGGCTTTATTGATCGACTAGAGAAAGTAAACAGCATGGCAGTGAACTCCTTTCCATTTATACTAAAAACAGGCATACACTGGGGAAAGGGAAGCTGGACTCTACATAGCAAACACTACTGCTTGCAGGAAACAGAGGACAACGTGAAGGCGGGAGACCTGCTGCATTAACAAACTCTCAGTGCAAAGGCAAGCGCTTTGGAAAACCACCAGGATTCAGAAAAGCGAGTACAGTAGAAACAAAAAATGTTTGCTTAATGATGATAACCATTAATTTCTGGCTGAGTCAGCTTTTTCAGGAGGTCTTAACAATTAGAAGAATATGTCATCTTGGATGATCGAAGTAAAACCTATTTCACACGAAGAACCCACACTAAAGGATCTGTAATTGTCATTTCCATTGACTTCCATTCACCAGTCATTTAATGATGACCCAACACAATACGCCAGGGATGCTAAGGACAAGACAATCCTTGTTCCCAGGAGCTTATAGAGAGGGTGAGCTATCTGCAGATGGTAACAATAGTCATCATCTTTGAATTGATAATAGAACCTGCTTACATCTATTGAACATTCACCTCTGCCAGGGTTTGCTAGGTGCTCTTAATGTGTTGTTTCACTTAATTCCCATTTCAATTCTCAAAATGGCAGTGATACCATTATTTTCCCAATTTTCCACACACCAAGGCTTGCTTAAGGTTGTTCTATGTAAGAAGCAGGGTCTGGGACTAAATTTAAGCAGTATGATGCCTAAATCTGTGTTCTTAATCACTGTGAGAAGAGGCCAAGCAATTCATGGAAATAGACTTAATGATAGCAGGGAAGGTTTGGATAGAGGGGTTGGTGGGGGATGCAGTGGGGGAGGAGTGAAGCGAAGAATTCTTTGAGGTGCTGAATACCTGGACGAATTCTGAAGTACCAGAGGTGTTTTCCAGGTAAACAAAATGATATATCATCTTTTGTGAGCAAATGAGTAATCATACACAACACATAGTCAGTGCCCAGTAAATCTCACCTCAAATTAGGATCACTTGTATGAGTATTCATGTACTTTTACTACTTACAAAAAAACTAACAGATGACAGGAAGGAAGGTAGGTAGGAAGCCCAGCGCTGGAAGGTGCTCTGAACAAACAGACGAGATACGTGGACTCTAGTCCCAGGCTGCACTGCCCTCTTGCCGATTGGCCTTGGGTAAAACCACTATGGCTCAGGCCTGATATTCCCTTCTCAGTAAAATGAGGGATCTGAACAAGCTAACTGCATGACTTCTGTTTGGTATGACCCTGACCTTCCCAAGCAATTTTATACTTTAAATAGCCACTAGAACTACCTAGAATACTTCTCCTACCCTGTCCTGCCTGACCCTACTCTAACCACACTAACCGTACTTTAAGCCACATAGATGTTAGTGCCTGGAATCAAATACAGATCTTTTGGATCGAATGGCCCCCTGTTGTCCCTTGACTAGGGTCCTTCTAGTTTGAATATATAAACATCAAAGGAGCAAACTAGCTAGGAATCTAGGGCCTCCTAGGTCAATCACATAATAATGGAGTGACCTTGGGCAAATTCCTTAATCAATCTATGCCTCCCTTAGTTTATCTGTAAAGCAGAGATCATAATACCTAAGTCACAGGGTTGTTGTAACAATTAAGTGAGGGTTTTTTCTCTTTAAAATACTTAGTATCTAGGTGCTTATACAGTTAGTGCTATATAACTGCCTGGTATTATTATTTTACCATTTAGAGGCTACAGTGATTAACACAAGATTGTTACTGGCAGCGCTACACTGCTGAAAGACTAATTGTCAGAATACATATGTGATATACATATATAAATATATATTCATATGTAAGAGTGTGTGTGTATATTTACATACACACACATATAATTACACCATAACCAAAAATATCTAATAGTTTCAAAACACATGCAGAAAGTTTTTGATATTCCTCCCTCCCAAAGGTGGAGCCTCATTCCCCTCCCCCTAAGTGTGGACTTTGCTTAGTGACTTGCTTCTAATAAACAGAATGTGGCAGAGTGACAATACTTGAGTCCAAGATCAGGACACAAAAGACTGGCTTCTTGCTCACGCTGTCTTTCAGATCACTCACTCTGGGGAAAACCAACCATCATGTTATGAGGATATTCAAGGAGAGGTCCATGAAGCAAGGGACTGAGACCTCCTGCCAACAGCCACACGGGCAATCCATCTTTCAGCCATATCTTCCAACCCTAGTCAAGCCTTCAGACAACCACAGTTCCAGTCAGCGTGAACCACCAAGCTCAGCCAATCCCAAATATCTGACCCTCAGAAACTGAGAAAACAAGCACTTATGGTTTCAAGTCGCTAGGTTTTGTGTTAATTTGTAACACAGAAGTATGTGGAAAACCTATTCCTAAATCTTTAGGCCCACAAATCAAGAAAGGCCCGTGAACGTGGGTCTCCTCTTTTTCTGGTCTCTAGTCCTAGCTTTACTGAATATTTTGTCCAGAAGAAACTTGTTACCATATTAGATTTAGCTAAGGTATCTTGTTGGGCAGTTCTAGAAGGAAATGCAGGATTCAGTGATTGCAGAGTGAGAGGACAGAAAGCGAAGTAAAGTAATGGGTGAAAGGAAGGAGCCAGAACAGGAACACAAAACCCTTAGTCATTTTACTTTTTTTTTTTTTTTGGAGATAGGATCTCACTCTGCCCCCCAGGCTGGAGTGCAGTGGCACAATCTCAGCTCACTGCAGCCTTGACCTCCCAGGCTCAAGTGATCTTCCCACCTCAGCCTCCTGAGTAGCTGGGACCACAGGCACCTGCCACCACACCTGGTTAATTTTTGTGTTTTTTGTAGAGACGGGGTCTCACCACGTTGCAGAGGCTGGTCTCAAACTCCTGGGCTGCAGCGATCCTCCCACCTTGGCCTCTCAGAATACTGGGATTACAGGTGTGAGCCACCGCGCCCAGCCTACTAGTTTGACTCTTTATAGCTAAGATATGAAGCATCACCAACATCAACTTGTGTTACTTACATCTACCAAGAAATCAAAAACCCGGGAGTGCAGGGCCTTGGCGAGCGCATCCCGGGTGTAACAGGCCTGCTCCACATTGAGGGTCACGTGGATGGATTCGGATTTGCCTCCCCACTTGCTATCCATCTGCCGGCTTGTTAGCTTTTCTTTCAACCGGTCCTGGTTTATCCCTAGCAGATATGCAGGAAAAGCTAAAACTGTAGAACATAAAACAAAACATGACAATCTTTCAGAATTGGGACACTTCCAATTCATCTCACAAACATATGGAGGCACTTATGTGCACATACACATGTGTATACATATAAGGCACAGTCACAGGCCCCAAGAGCTTATGTTCTAGTGAAGGCTGCTTATCAGTAATCCCACACACATCCATCTCCTTTGTTCTTCCCAATTGTTTTATTACATGAGTCAATTCCTACGATGACTGAGACTTCCAATAATACAAATCAGGGATCCAAGAAGGATGGCAAACCTATCCCTCCTACCGAGATCACAGTTAAATGCCTAACATGGACATCTCTCCAAGCTTCCAGCAAGAGAGCCCGGAAGGAACTCAATCAAGAAACATTTCTTTGGCTCCAAATATTGTTTTCTTCCTTTTTAGTACAATGTTTTCATAGCATCATTTTTGAAGCACCTGATATTACTGAACTAATAATTACCATGTTTACTAATCCCATGTTTATTGAGTATTTAGCACGTGTAGGGTTACTAAAGAGGGAGGAAAGAATAGAAAATATGTAAGAAATCTTGAAAGCAATCTAGATGAGGCAAAAAATAGTTTGCCAAATAAAGAACCCTTGGAAAAGCTGAATATGTAACACAGACAGACAAGATGTGGAGAAATTAGAACAGGAAGATATTACTACTTGCTGGGGTAGTCAAGAGATTTGAGCTGGGTGTAAAGGATAAATAGGATTTGTACAGATGCAGAGAGGAGAAGGGAGTGTACCAAGGGGAGGAAGCAGAAGTGTGGGAGACATGATGGAGACGAGACGTGGGCTACAGTGTGTGGACTAGCACTGGCTGCAGCTGAAAGTTCAGGTCAGATTAAAAAGGTTAGGACAGATTCCAATGCTGGGGGTCCTTGCATGGTATGATATATTTGGGCTGGAGGCAAAAGGGGGCCTGATGGCTAATAAAGAGGGGCATTATAAGAAGATTCCTCTGAGGGTAGCATATGGAGTGAAATGAAGGGGATGTTGTGGTTCATATCCTGCCCTAATGTCACATAGTATGGTAGTTTGTGGTCTTTGGATAGAAAAACAGAGACTTCCATAGCTCAACATCTTGTTTCAGACCATGAAACTTAACTAAGGAGGGCTAGTGATATAAATGGGGTTTTCCTGATTTCTGGGCAGAACGTTCTCATATAAATAAATGACACCATTCTTCGACATGAAAGAATGCTCAGATTTTTCCAATATGAATGAAAGATTTTTATAGATGCAATGGAAATTTTGAACTTGGCTATGAGTTTTCTTTTTCTGCATAATGCTTCACCAAAATTATCTGATAAAAGAATTTTGTTAAAGGCCTTATGATAATGCTAAAAAATCACAAGCCTCCCAATAAAGGATAATCTGTTTGAATTTCACAGATGGTGTTAGAATATAACGAGCTGACATTTCTCAGTGTACACCTTCCAATGAGATTAAGTCAGTGAATACATTTTGAAAATGTATAATGCCAGAACAAGACATTTATCCTCTATATGAGTGTTTCATAAAAATGCTTTGAGCAATAGAAGGGCTTCCTTTTACAAAAGACATGTAAACAAAATCAAATGCACTGATCTGAAAATGGCCATTGTACTTAGTTTTAGTGTTAAACACATGTCTAGGAATCTGGGTGTGTCTTCCAGTGAACTAAAACTTCCTGTGCACAGAGTAAGGACAGATGACATTCATAAATCAGATTGCACCCATGTCGGGTTGCTGTGAGAATCAACAGACATTCACCAACATATCCAACATATAAGAAGCCCTCACTAAGGGAAGAGTATCCTGTTGGTTTTATTATCAGAGTGATATCTCACTTGATGCAGTGGACATCATCATCAGCAGTTTACAGGACAGTCACAAGAGCTCCTCTCATTGTTTATAGGAACTATACAGTGAATAGGTTCATAAAATGAATAATTAGCCTCAATCTCTCTGTTTTGTAAATATGGCTTTCTCCTAAGCCCTAACCATGTTCCCACATGGTTAAAATATTTGACTAAGATGTTTATGCCATTATCTTTATGACCTTTGCTAAAGAGATACAACAATAAGGGCTAAGATGAGAGTCCCAGAGACAAAAGAGTGAGAAGGGACGACAAAGACACACGCTCTACTTCCATCTTGTGGTCCTTTTCTGCAGAAGAGGGCATGGAGAGCCGCAAGCACTCACAACACAAGGAATGGAACTGGGCCAAGAATCACAGCCACAAGCTTAGGGAAATAGCGAAGGACACCAGAGCGGAAATACAGCGCTTGGCTTGAAAAAGAATCCATGCCATGTTTTTCAAACTTTTATGGCCTCATATTTTCTTCAGTGCCTGCCCTAATGCTGAAATTACAGGGCTGCTAATATTGACTTTCTTCAGGCTGTGAGTTTCCATGAGGCAGTTGTGAGTGTGTCTGGATAGGAGTGTCAGTATGGAAGCTTGGAGAACTGGAGAGGGAGAGGGAGGGAGGAAGCAATGATTAATTTTAAAATGTGGGTGTGTAACTCTGATATAGTTAATCAGAGTCATGGAAAACATTGAAGAACCTGCTAAAAAGTAGTATTTCCGCACATTTAAATAATGAAGATAGATTACTATTACTGCATTAAAGTGTAAAGCAAAGTTAGGTTTAATTTTTCCACCTAAATTTGAAATACAGGGAATAGAGAAACACCAAAAAGATGTAGCAAAAATAAAATTCAATTTTTACAAATTTAAAAGACTCAGCATGGTAAAAAAAAAAAAAAAAAAAAAAAAAAGGGTTTATCTGTCCTTGGTGTTGACTTTCTGTGCTTTCTAATCCGTGAATAACGGGGTAAAGGAGGGGCGCTGTCAACTGTGCTTTTCCTCCCCACTGTTATCAAAATAGTGACTTGTTCTTTCATTAAAATTCTTAGGTTAATTTGGTTTTTAATACCTGCCACCTCACTGCATTGCTGTTGGACAGGTACACGTGTGCCTAAGGTGAGGTTTGTTTGGCTTCACAGCAACATAAAGATTTGACCAAGGAAATGCTACACTTCCATTAGTCCAAGGACAGGTAAAAACAAAGCTTGTTTGGCCAGGCGTGGTGGCTCATGCCTCTAATCACCACACTTTGGGAGGCCGAGGCAGGCAGATCATCTGAGGTCAGGAGTTTGAGACCAGCCTGGTCAACAAGGTGAAACCCCATCTCTACTGAAAATACAGAAGTTAGCCAGGCGTGGTGGTGCGCACCTGTAATCCCAGCTACTTGGGAGGCTGAGACAGGTGAACTGCTTGAACCCAAGAGGTGGAGATTGCAGTGAGCCGAGATAGCGCCACTGCACTCCAGCCTGGGTGACAGAGAAAGACTCCGTCTCAAAACAAAAACAAAAAACAACAACAAAAAAAGTTTGTTGTTATTAATGGCTATTTTGCTTTAGTAGGCCAGTTCTGATGAAAATCTTACCATTTTTTTTCCACACTGCAACAGCTAGAGAAAGTCTGCTTTTTTCTATTTTAAAGGCACGGACTACCACTTCCCTCTACTTCATAGATATACCAAAATATGAGAAAGACAGAAACCAAGGCTACTCATTTCAGTAGTGTTCATTCAGTCTTGTAACAGTAGATCAGAAACCATATTAATGTCCAACAACAGATAATTGGTTCAATAAAGAAATAAAAGTGTAGCCAATGAATGGAATGCTATGCAGCTATAAAAATGATGGCCAGGTGCAGTGGCTCAAGCCTGGATTCCCAGCACTTTGGGAGGCCGCCAAGGCGGGAGGATGACTTAAGGTCAGGAATTCGAGACCAGTCCTGGCAACTAAGCAAGACCCCATCCCTCTTAAAAAATAAAAATAAAAAATAAAGCTCCTTATGAATTGGTATAGAATAATCTCATATATATATGAGAATATATATATATATATATATAATTTTTTCCCAGGAAGCACTGGGAAGATAGTATAATTATATATGATGTTTCCTTTCAATATATAAATATATTTTTAATATATATAATTTTTTGTTTCCCTTTTTGAGATGGAGACTCGCTCTTTTGCTCAGGGTTCAAGTGATTCTCCCGCCTCAGCCTCCAGAATAGCTGGAATTACAGACGTACACCACCACCAAACATGGCTAATTTTTGTATTTTTGGTAGAGACAGGATTTTACCATGTTGGCCACACTGGTTTCAAACTCCTGACCTTAGGAGATCCACTGCCTCGGCCTCCTAAAGTGCTGGTATTACAGGCATAAGCCTCCATGCCTAGACTAAGACACATATTAAGTGAAAAAGCAACTGTAGAACATTGTGGTATAAGCCCCCATTATTGCACAAAAGTGGGGAAAAAAGAGTGGTTGTGTGTAGTTGTTCCGGAGCACACATCCTTTAAAGGGAACACAAGAGACTGGGAACCTTGGTTACCTCTGACGAGGGGAACAAGTGGACTAGAAAAGGTATAGAAGGGAGAACATTCACTGTATACTCCCTCGAGCCAGGTTAATGTATTACCAAATGAACAAAACCCCAAATCAAAGGAAATTATTGAGGTGGGGGAGGCCCATTTCCTAGACCTCTCTGGCTTCCATCTCAGCCTTTTCCGATCTCCGTGCCTCCATCGCCTCTGGTCAGGGAATTTCATGGGCAGTTGCCAGTGCTGAGCCTTACCCATCTGGCTGAGAAGACTACTAACTCTGGACATCAATGTGCAATAAAACACTTCTTGCTTCAGACATTTAGGGAACTGTTTGCTGTCTCAGTGTCATGATTTTGTTGTCAAGCATCAAGAGGCAGTAAATTATTTTACTATCCAAGAAGGCAAAAGAAATCCAGTCTACTTCAACAGAAACTACCACCAAACCAACACTGTTACCATTAAAAGGCCAAGTGTTAATGATCCTACTGGAAACATATGTGCATTTGTTAAATGTCAAGGATAATGTACACAAAGTTTAGAAACACAGTTATCATTATTATGATTATTAGGTCATGTTTTCAGACTTTATGGACACCCTGTATATTTATGGTTTTCTACTCCCTTCCCTGGTAAACATAATTCATCTTTTTCTTTATCAGATAGACATCAGAAGTTAGCAGAACTTCCCTCTTTTATCAGAAAAGAAAACAAAAACATAAAAAAAGAACCTTATTTGGAATGGAAATATCCCTACTGCATTGTCAGCAATGAGTGGGATACTATTTATTACTAAGCATCTAAATTTATCATCCTTAAAGAATGCTGAGAAAGGAAGAATGTCTTCCTGGGTGGTTAAAGGATGTGTGGGTTCTGAGAGCAGCCTGCAAGCTGTTGATGCCTAAGAGGCTAAAGTCATGTGCCGCTGTATTTATGGTAGATTTTGGGCACATATAACCAACAACATCTCTCTGCAGGAAGAACCCTGATTTTTTTCCTCAAAGACTAAAAACGACCATTTAGGTGTGGAGGCTCCAGTTATGCAGATGTGATCATTAAAGGTGATCATCAGAAATGTCAACACAACAGTCAACGTCCATCTTTTCCTGTGCTCAGAAATCCAATCTAATCCAATCCGTGGAACAAACTGTGAAGCTGTGAACTTCCCCTATTTACATATATTATATTGCTTGCTCTTTAAAATCTTTAAGTGAATTTAGATCCTAAAGACCAGTTACTTAAAGGTTTTCATAAAGAGACTAAATCTTTTGCATTAAGCCATTACTCTAATCCCCATTAAAGAGATCACTTTATCTTTAAACTGAGATGTGAAATCCTCCCAGCTTTCCCCAGGTTAATGATAAATTGAAACGATTCCATTTATCATCGATGGTGTGGGACTTGGAAAGGCTGGGGATAAGGAGAGGGGCAGGTGCATACAAGAGGTCTGACCTCTCGTGAAGCCATTCTGTTCTGCCACAGAGGACATGTAGATTTCTCACTTCTTCCCAATATTCCCATTTAAGATCTAAGCAAAGGAAAGTGCTGGGTTACTTCTAATCAGAGCTAGCCACCCCTCATTCAATCAATGGCCACGTGCCAGGGCTACGCACACTCTTCACTCTCCACAGCTGCGTAGTTGCCAACTTCTTTGAAGCTGATGTTTCCCAGGTGGAGAATACCCGCCACGATCTGCAACACCAGCGTTTGCTCTTCTGCAAAGATCCCAATCACATTCATGGCATGCTGGAAGAGAAAAGAGAAACTATCCAGAGAAGCTGGTCGTCAGCTTTAAAAGCAGCCAAGGCAGAGCAGTTGCTCTAAATAAGGGTGTGACAAGTACAGACGAGTCAAAAAGAAAAAAAATCATAGATTGGGTTGTGCAGTCAGTCACATGTGGCTGACCTTGTGATGACAGCCGGACGTTCTTGTACAACATGATCACTGCTCAGTGTACACACTCTTCTCACGTCTCAAAGTCATGCTGGAAGGGCAGTTCTGTCTCTAAGCAGAGCGTGCCGTCCTCCAGGAATAAGGGAATACTCCAGGAGGAATGAGACTCGGAGGAGTGGTAGTTGTACACAAAGTCTCCAAGTCCTATCTTCATCCTTTGATGTGTTCTTATTGCCAGCTTCCCCTCGAAGGTCACTGCTGACCTTTCCACCTACTCCAAGTGGACTCAAGAGATCTTTCCCTTCATCAGGAGGGATAAGAATATGTTGTACTTGCAAAAGGATCTAATGAAAAATCTCCAGGAAATCCAATAAAAGCATCATTTAAAAGTACAGTTTCTGAGGTCCCTTAAATGCAATAAATACCGCTAAAATGTCTAAATCTTAGAGAACCATCTCCTAAGAAAACTATACTCTAGGACCAGTGTGCAGACTCCTTACTGGCACTTTTTCTCCCATCTGCTCTGAGGCCATGTGACCTGTTGACACCATTTTGTTTCCTGGCACCCAGGACACAGTCTGTCTGAACTTTCTGTCCCTTTCAACCACAAATGTACTGAATCCACACTACTCATTTAGACTCTACTGCTCAGTTCGGGATCTGAGTTGAGGAATAGTCACCAGCTTGAAACAGACTCAAAGGGCAGTGGTAATGAAGGCCTTTGAGGCTAAGTGGGTGGTCAGCTTACCTCTAGAAAGTTCTAGATTGACTCATTTTAGTTGCTGCTCACAGGATGGAACCCCTCCATAATCTACCAAGTTTTACAACTTGGCCCATAACATACATGCAATGTGAAGGGCATGGCACAGAAAAAGGGTCCTCTGCCCTGCGCAGTACAGAGGGGAAGAGAGTCTTCAAAACCAGAAAAGAAATAAGAGAAAAGACTAAAGATGTTCCAAAATTTCTAAACCTATTCAGTCCACAGACGTGCTGTTTGCTTAGCCCTTCTAAGATAACAGCTCACGAACAGAGTAGGCCATCAGCAAACAGGTGTGCTCAATGTACGCATCATTTTTGCCTATTTATCAGAGCTCCTGCAGGGGGATAATAATGAATTCATGTCTTTTTACCCATCTCAAATCATTAAGTGGTCCTCAGGCAACTGGCACATGGGTATGAAAGGGCACTGGAACATGAATGAGCACACAGAGTGCTCACACAGAACAAGGCAGACATTTTATGCAGCTCTTCGCTTTATTAAGCTTCACTGCCCTTTCGGCCATAGGAAATGGCCAGCTGGGAGACCAGAACCCGCCTGGCCCTGCGCCGGCACTTACCAGAGTTTCCTGAAACTCCCGCCTGTCGTCAATGTCATCAACCTTGTATGAGCCCGAGAGGCTCAGGTAGTAATAATAGTCCATGCTGGTGATGCCAAGGCCGTGCTTCTGCTCTGCAGAGGCGCCCTCGATGAGCTGGAGCACGAGAACACAGGTTGAGCCATGATGTGGACCACAAGGCACCCGAAGTCGCCTCATGCATCCTGCAGCCACCATTCCCAAACCCAGTGATGAGGACTTTCTATCTCTGCTTTCTAAAATTATAGGCAGTCCTGGCTCCCAAATATGTACTTGCAGTAGCCCCATGTCATCTCTGCAAATTTTGATTCCTAACTCTGGAAAGACCTGCAAGAGCTGAGGATTTTCCCTGGTCCACTGAAAGGAACTCGACTGCCACCCTTGGCAGAGTGGAAAGCAAAACAGACTTTCATTACTTAGCTCCTGCCCAACTTGCTACAGCTTTTTCAAGTGGAGCTGGCTTTTCCATGCTTCTCACTGCAGGGTGCATGTTAAAAAACTGCCATGCAGCTTCTCGCTCTCTGGTATTCTGAAACCTCCTGACCAATGACTGTCCCTTGGCTTTTCTTGTTTTTTATAGACAGGGTCTTGCTCTGTCACCCAAGGTGGAGTGTACTGGCACAATCTTGGCTCATGACAGCCTTGATCTCCCAGGCTCAAGCAATTCTCCCACTTTAGCCTCCTAAGTAGCTGGGACTAAAGGCATGTACCACCACGTCCAGTTAATTTTTTAACTTTTTGTAGAGACAGAGTCTCACTCTGTTGCCCAGGTTGGTTTCAAATTCCTGGGCTCAAGCAATTCTCCCACCTCAGCCTCCCAAAGCGCTGGGATTACAGGTGTGAGTCACCACGCTCAACTCCTTGGCTTTTTGTTCAAACTCTGATGTCTGCCTTGGGCCTGGGCAAGACCCTCTTACTGGGCTTTAACCAGTGGTGTGCGGGAAAATGTTTAACCCTTGAGGAAAAAAATTGATTTATAGTGTTTGTCAATATTCATGGTATAAATACTCCCACTCTGACTGATTTCAACTACCAAAGAAATGTCACAGAAGGAAGAGGGAAGAGATGTGCATCGCCCATGCGAACCAGCTCCAGCACACCCTGGCTCTAACCTAATAATATTTAGGAAAATAGGGACAGCTCCCATCCATGCTTCCCACCTTCGTCAAGTTGTACAACGCCGTCCTGGCTCCCCTCCCCGCATAGGGGGCCTCATCTCCATTACTGAGAAGCTCTAGGTCACCCCATGACATCAGGCTTCCTTCATTTCCTGCCCTGTCTCCTGAACGTTCATCTTTTGGTCCCACCCCTTCCTTTTTTTCCTCTATTTTCAGTCCTCTCCCCACCCATATACTGTAGATTCCCTCTAACTTGCATCTTCAAATCTATCTTCTCTAACTCTCTTCTAGCTACAAACACGCTACTCTTTTTTTTTTTTTTTTGAAAGGGAGTCTCGCTCTGTGGCCCAGGCTGGAGTGCAGTGGCGCCATCTTGGCTCACTGCAAGCTCCGCCTCCCGGGTTCACGCCATTCTCCTGCCTCAGCCTCCCGAGTAGCTGGGACTACAGGCGCCTGCCACCATGCCCGGCTAATTTTTTGTATTTTTAGTAGAGACGGGGTTTCACCGTGTTAGCCAGGATGGTCTCGATCTCCTGACCTTGTGATCCACCCGCCTCGGCCTCCCAAAGTGCTGGGATTACAGGCGTGAGCCACCACGCCCCACCAAGAATTACTTTCATGTCAGAATCTTGAAGCCCTGAGCCCACCAGTTCCCAGCCTCTATTCCGGTGGTTTCTGACCTAAGGGCAGAGGACTCCTGGGGAAGGGTTAGGGTTTGCATTTATTTAAAGAAGTCCTGGCATCCATTATACACTTCCATCTAGCACTCAGTATCATTTCTGTGAAATATATAATTTTTTTCACTTATCTATACATGTTGCTTTAATACGATTTTAAAAATGACTGAATTCACAGAAGTTTTAGACATTTATTATACTTTTTCAATCAACAGATACCAACTAAAAGAATTATTTGGCATCACCTAAGATATGTGTGTAACTGAAAAGACTGAATGTGAGCTATTACACAGTTTAATGTCCTTCTAATACAGGGATCCGCAAACTAAACATGAAACAAAACAAAACAAAAAACAGTGACCAGGCCTTTCTTCGAAGAAAGTCTAATGTGGATCTTCAATATAAAATACTAATAACTAAATAGAACATAAAAAATTTGGTTATTAACATCATTGTATTTTTTAAGTACTTAAAAACTTTTACAAAAGTAGCTGAATCAGGGCCAGGCACAGTGGCTCACGCCTGTAATCCCAGCAGTTTGGGAGGCTGAGGTGGGCGGGTCACTTGAGTCCGAGAGGTAGAGGCCAGCCTGCATAATGTGGTGAAACCCCACCTCTACGAAAAATGCAAAAATCAGCCAGGTATGGCGCCATGTGCCTACAGGCCCAGCTACTTGGGAGGCTGAGGCAGGAAGATCATTTGAGCCCAGGATGCAGAGGTTGCAGTGAGCCAAGATTGTGCCACTGCACTCTAGCCTGGGCGACAGAGCAAGACCCTGTCACAAATAAAAAAATAAATAAAATAAATAAAATAAAAGTAGCCGACTCAGATGACTGCTGAGGCCTGTAACATAAACGAAAAGCACCCTGCACACTGCTCTGGCCCCAAACTCTCCACGACTTCTGAGGGTCTAGGTGGAAACTTTTCAACTTGGCATTGAAGATCCCAAACCTATCTCAAATCTTCTCTCCCACAGCTCACGTGCTGGAGATGCCTGCCCTGCACACAGGCTGAGGCCGGGCTCCCTGACTGACTTTCCCTCTCCCACCTCCACTGCTTTAGCGCAGGACACCTGTCTTTCCTGATCAATCCCCTCCACTCTCCATCTGGGTTCTACCTCCTTCATACCTCTCCTACTATCCGGCCAAACCTGCCCACATGAATTCCTTTGGCAAAGACTCCAACACTCCTCATTTTGTTTTTAAGTTACGTCAATACTTCCTTGATGATTTAGCTTTGGGGGAATTGTTGTCTTATCACTCCAATTAGAACTCATTCTCCTTGAGGGCAGGGGCATTCTCACAATTCTGCACATTGACTTGCACATGGTACCATAATCAGTCCTCCCTGGCTTGCCAGACTACACTCTATGCCTGAAGTCTGAGAAATATTTTAATGTAGAGAAGGGACAGGAAGTGGGCAGGAAAAAAGTAGAAAGGAAAACCTGGTAAAATATGTGAAAACTCCGCTCTCCTGGGTTCCTCATCACCACCCTAGATTTTTCCAGAAGGAAGTTGGAGATCTTTCCACCATCTGGTTCCCCACCTGGACTGAACTGGATTTCAAAGTATTTTCCCTGCAAGAAAGTTAGGGATTTCCTTCAGTGGTTGGTGAACAAAACATGATGTCCCAAACAGGCTTTGAATACAGTATAGAATTCAAGGAAATTCATTAATAAAAGATACATTCTGAATTACTCCTAATTTGAGTCTAGACTTCCTTACAGTTTTCAATCAGACAATAACCCGTGCTTTTGTCCAGCCACACGATTCTGTTATGAGCGAGCACCTATCATTCCAGCATGACTAAATAAGGATATGCTCTATTCCTTGCTCCTTTCCCCCCAGTAGGTGCCCGCCTGCTTAACCGGAAGATGTAAAAAATGAGGCAGAAAAATGGCACGGCACCCTTTCAGAGGAAGAGCACTCTTGCTCTGTCAGACTTCACCTCATGGCTTTGAGCAAAAACATTCAATCCCTCTTACCTATGGAACATCTAAAATGTTTATCCAAAATGAAAACACTTTATAAAAAGTAAAGTTCTTTCCAGCTACTCATGGGCCTAGGGATTTTTGTCACTGTCATTGTTACGAAAATTCCTCTTTAAATGACTGCTAATAGGGAACAAAGGAGAATAAAAGCCTAGACTGCAGTTGAAAAGGTATCTAGGTTGTTATTTTAATTATATATAGCCAGGCGCGGTGGTTCACGCCTGTAATCCCAGTACTTTGGGAGGCCGAGGCAGGTGGATCACTGGAGGTCAGGAGTTCGAGACCCGCCTGGCCAACATGGTGAAACCCCATCTCTGCTAAAAATACAAAAAATTAGCTGGGCGTGGTGGCAGGTGCCTGCAGTACCAGTGAGGCAGGAGAATCGCTTGAACCCGGGAGGTGGAGGATGCAGTGAGCCGAGATTATGCCACTGAACTCCAGCCTGAGCCACGAAGCGAGACTGTACAAAAAACAAAATAAAATGAAAAATTATATAATTATTATAACAATTATATATTATATATAATTATTATAACAATTATTATATATGCATTCTCACAATTCTGCACATTGACTTGCACATGGTACCATAATCAGTCCTCCCTGGCTTGCCAGACTACACTCTATGCTTTTTTCACTTATCTATACATGTTGCTTTAATACGATTTTAAAAATGACTGAATTCACAGAAGTTTTAGACATTTATTATACTTTTTCAATCAAC